GGCAGATCAGCTGTCGCCAGCAACATAAATAACCTGATCGTTAGATCACGTCACTTGTTATTTACCTGCGAACGTGCAAGGTTGCGCCAGGGAATAATAGACGATTATTTTGATGCTCAGGTGGCGGGAACGGCGGGAACGAAGACCTGTAGTTTCAAGTAAAATTTAGAATGGAATTATGACGCGCATCGTTCGTAGGTTCGAGGCGGTGTAAAATTCTATCATCGCTGTCTCCCCCCCCACCACCCACCCCAGTTGTCGACAGTCACGTTGCCTGCGCGAACATTACGTGCGTGACGGTAAGTGGGTGGTCTGACGACGGCGACGGAGGGGCCGCCGTCCAGTGACAGCCGATGAACAAACGTGTTGCTTGCCTGTCGCCCGCGCGGAAGTGGGGTTGGTAGAGGGGACACTGCTGAATTTTGCACGTCATCATAGGTAAATCGGGTCGGATCGTTGTCGAACGGAACGATTCCCGGAGGGTAGCATCAAAAACGACGATAAATTCATGGTTCGTTCGGTAACCGTACTCTGTCTGATCAAGACAGCCGAGGAGAGAGGGCAGTTAGAGGGTTCAATGAAGCGCTGGCACTTCGTAGTGCTCATCAAAACAGCTTAGCGCTGATCAAGAACTCTTGTGATCACGTCTTCGACAGCTAGTTTTAGTGCAGTCTACTCAATAGCCATCTTCCGCGCCGATAAGTCGTTGCCGCATTACTCGGAGGCACTGTATGTCCGTTGTGGCCTTCACTCCTGATCCAAGAAATCAGGGGTCATGACCTTGCTCGCTCAGTCGATACAAGGTCGTATTCAGAATCGGCAGGTCCTGCTTTGAACCACGGTCGAGCCACTGGTCGTTCTTCCTTCCAGGCATCATAAGTGAGTGCCACTCCGTGCGAGGAAGCAGAACACGAAACTGACCGCATGGAAATCAAGATCACCGCCCATCATTAACTGCATGAAAAGAAGGGCGGCGGAAATGGCGCCACCTTGACAGTTTGAACAAGACCAACATTCCAATGGCCTCAAAAGTTCCATCCATTTTAATCGATAATAACTCATTTTCCGCCTTTCTGTGATTTCCTGTCACACTGCGATCTGCAATAGTGGTTCCAATTAAATTCTAAATTATTGGCACTACCCCAAGATTTCAGGAATTTGGGTCAGCAGGCGGAGCTATCAGATGGTGGCTAAAAATGACTATCGATGATTCGTCCAAACTGAAAGGAGATGTGTGCTTATTATCAAAATTCCGATCACAAGGCGAATACGAATTTTACCGCTGAAAGGCACATATTAGAACCAAGGCTGAAATGCTGATGCAAATGAAGAGGCTTTCGTACACGACCAGGCCATCGAGCTTCAAAGCAAGCTACTACTTGCTCGATAGTTCAGAGACGAATTGTCGTCAACCTCGCATCCGATGACGACCAACTTTTGCGATACCTACTGTGGCTGTTGGTGACTATACTGCTTCTTTTTGCGTGGTCTATTTTTCAAGTCCACACTCATACTTTAGCACTTTTATGAATGAGTTGTGTTTCTAAAGTCTTCACCTTTCGAACAAGACAATTGTCGATTCGAGAAGAACGTCTTGTTGAAACGGTGGGGTACTTGAATGTCGTTGGCGCGTATTGAAAATGAACTTCCAGTGTACTTTTGTTCGACTTTCATTTGAGGAATTTGTCTCGTCGATGTCTTCGATGAGGCGTTTGGACTCAAACAAGCGTTTGTCGTCATAAATGTTCATTGGATATTTTCCTGGATCACTTACCAGACGTGCATTACTCCGCGCATTATTGTTTTGTCATCGTTATCTGAGGCCAATAGAGCTTGAACAGAAGAGTAGTCCAGATTTATTATATCTGACTATTAGAAATCGTACTTCAGGTTCATATTAGGTATTGATTGATACCGCATTAGAATTGATCGACACTGTTCCGCATTCGTCAGAGATCATGAATCATTTCCATCATCAGCCTTTTTCGATCCACTGACGCACGAAGCGCTCTCATAAACTTTGCCACTAACTTTCGTGTTTTGCAGTTCCCATCCCTCTTAATCCTGGTGAACTTTTTCAACATATTCCGCTATCGGTCTGCAGGTCTTCATACGAGACGTTGACGTTCTCTTGCAACTAATGTAGCACTAGCTCAGCGACGGTCGATTCTTCTTGCAACGTGCCACTTTGGCTTCCTGTTCACTCTTCCATTACATCGAAGACTCTTACGTGTGCTCTTATCCTTTATACGTTTTCCAATCCTTTCTTCTAATTCCCAACATAGATCCCTCTGTACGTCGTTGTGTAGCCTAATGTTTTTGAGCACCTTTCACGCTTAAGGTCTAAGTGGGCCCATTTGTTAGCCATTGGAGTACACACTTCATACGCTCAAGGCATTTCACGGCGGATTTCATCAATTCCAGCAGACTTTTCATTTTTCAAGCTTTTCACAGCCTGTGCAATTTCATCTACAGAGACAGTAATATCCGTACCCTTCTGCTCTACAGGCCAGTCTTCATGCGGTTGTTCGGGGTTAAAGAGTACCTCAAAGAACTCTCTTCGTCGCCGAAGTATTTTCTCTCATCCATGGGAAGAGGACGTGCAGATTTGTCTTTCAGGACCCATAGAATGCTTTTTTTCTATCTGGGAGGCAGCGGATGTACTGTCTGTCTGTCTCTCTTTCTGAAATCGTCGCAGACGAAGATGCCAACTTTGAAATTGGTACTTGTGACGAAAGTTTCGTACTGTACTGACACCGAGCTTCCAACGACCCACATAGTGTGAGGGATTGAATCAAGGGCTTGATACAAATAACCACATGCAATTACCCTGAATGTAGACTCTTGATTGAATGATTGCGGGCTAACTTAGTTTACGCAGTTTCCACGATGGAATCATGAAATAAAATGGAAATGGTCGAATTAATAATAATCAGTAGCTCCCCAGAACATCGGGATTCCGCTCTGTCACTCTTTCTCCTAGATCGTGGAAGTGTTTCTTGTTCGAGCCGCGGTCCTGCGTCCTATGCACTGCAGACGCTTAAATACAATGGAGCCGTGAATGGTCCCCCTAGGCGTCTAGAAACAAGGGGCGGTGCAATCAGCTGCTGGTGTAAAGTGAGAAATTGATTTTCCTTACTTTACACTGTGCATTCACCGTTTGAATCCAGTGTATCATTATTGAAATTCACAGTTTGACTAAGAAATCGCACTGTACTCACAGCTAGTTGTTCAATGGTGGGCAACATAAGGGACGAAGTGAAATAACTGTCTACCTATGATTTACATCGTACAGTCATCACAAATATACTGTAATATAAAATTCACTCGTTTGACGACGGCGTCGTACTCCGCTCTCAGAGAGTTACCCATTGATACATAACAAGATGGGCTGAATCACGCAGTTGATGCAGCTGACCATTGTACAGACTGAATGCGGCGGCCACATGACCGAGCGCTGACAACACTCAGCCGACTACTCCAAAACGTCCCAATTCGCATCTAGCTTGCTTTGATGTGGTCCTCTGTTCCATTCCAATCACTCCTATGGTCATTTCGTACTCTCCACCATTTGACTGTCGGGGTTTGGCTTGCCTAGGAGTAACAGTAATAATAATTACGGAGCGAACGGAATACCACTGACATCGCTGGTCCGGAGTACGTCGCGAATGCGAAGTCGTAACGCTGCGTTCAGACTGCACACAGACGTTGATGTGTCGTCCGTGTGCTTTCTCAGGCGTGAACCTCGTTCCCTGTTCAGCACTGAAGCTAAGACCCGAGTCAAGGTACCATTGGTTGATGGACTGATTCGTATGCAGATGAAGTGACGACTGGAAACCACGCGAACAGCGTGATGACTCGTTTGAGTTCAGTTTTAGAGGCGACCACAGGGATAAGTAATCGAACGGCATGAGTATCGGCGGGTTCTCGTCAGTTCGGATCGTTATTTACGTATCGATCGTGATCCTCATGCCGTACGAAAGCTACCTCGCTTACGATCGATACGCTGCGAACGACGATGAGTGCGTCTTGTGCTGGCGTAGCTTGTTGCATAGTAAACATTAGGTGGTGAAAGGAGGACGATGGTCGTCGGCACTGTGCCGTTGACAGCCCCTCATGTGCGCACGTGCGCATGTTGATTCTGTGTTGCCGGCAGAGCGGTGCCACTCCAGTCGCCCGTCACTGTGGTTCAGCGGTTCGAAACGCTCACAGTGTCTGTTTTTCGTTTCTGCTGCTTGCACGTAGACTTGGCCATGGAAGAAGACAGCTACCACAAGAGACTCTGCCCGGACAAGACGATGAAGAGCGACTACGGCAGTTCTGTGGCTACCCCGTCAAACGGCGTCGAAGACCACCAAAAAATTACCAGACGCATCGGCTCCTGCTACTGCGCCCGGCGCTACTACTTGGCCGTCTGTGCGTTCCTTGGTTTTTGCCTCATCTACACGATGCGAGTGAACCTGAGCATCGCCATACTGTACATGACAAGAAACAACACGAACGTAGCGGCAAATGAGACGGAAGGCGTAATACTGTTAAGCACCGATGTTCGTTCAGATGTATAACTCTTTACTGTTCAGGTGACATCTACGTTCGACGGCTGGGATTCAGTCACGCAGGGCGTGATCATGGGCGCCTTTTTCTACGGCTACATCATCAGTCAGTTGCCCGGAGGTAATTTTGTTTCGTCTCTAATTGACGGCATCTGCTATATAAGGCATACAGAGCTCTGTATCCGTCAGTGCAACCATGCGTCAAGTTCCAGTTGATAACTATGTTATTTTGGTCAAAGAAGACATTTACCGGCTCTCCGTTATCTAACTTCGGCATTTCTGTAGCCAGCTGTGAGCAGCGATTAAATTAAGGATTATATTATCACAATACGGGCTAAAAAGTGAATGATTAATACGATTAAATTGCACGATTATATTATCACAATACAGTGCAAAAAGTAAATGATTAACATGAGTAACGTAAGAGCTATTCTATTATTAAACACGGAGTTTGGAGTCGAAGTGCTTACTCACTTGCACGAATAATAATGCTTTCACCTTACCAATCATTCATTCAACAGTGTCAGTACGTACATATATAATTATGCAGAATATAGACTACTAGAAACAACTGGACTGTGTGACTACATCGTCCGAACCCGGAGAGTCGATAAGAGATTGTTATTCTTGCCGGAGGCATCGAAAGTGAGCTGTTTGCTTGTAAACCCTAGTGCCTACGTATCGAGCTATATCCACTGATATTCAGACATGTTTTTGTTCGATCCAGCAAAACGGTGCTGGTTTGCGCCCCTACACTGCAGATGTTAAATTACTGGAAAATTATGACCTGTATAAACGGTTTCCTAGGCTACCGTAAGCAAAGGAACAGTGCGACTACGCGCTGCCA